GTTATCCTAACCATTATGTAAATATAGGTTAAAATGTTTAGAAAAATCTTAAGGATAATCACTGAGTTGAAAATAAGAAAAAAACCCTTCAAAAGAAAAATCAGACAAAGCAGCAGACAAATACTGCCATGTATAAAGCAAATAGCAAATATCAAAGAAACATCAAAACAGAATACAGAGTATGAAGACAAAATAAAACCAAATATAAACTTTGTAACTATAAATATGAATGCCTTAAAAATACAAAGGCACAAATTGAATCAGGCAAATGAAAAGAAACAAAACAAAAAAGAAAACAGTGCTTGAGACATTAAAATCAGAGCAAGACCAAAATAATTAGGTGGAATAAAGAGAAGGTCTTTATACTGCAAAAGACCTTTATATTAATATCTTAATATAAATACCTTGATGTAATTATTTATAATTTAGAATATCTTAATATAAAGAGAACATCTTTATATTGCTGATTCACAATGATGATAACAGTAACAATCGTTATGTGCCAAATAACATATCATCAAAATATGTAAAGTAAAATCATTAAAATACAAGGAAGAAATAATGGAAATGTCAGAGACTTTAACCTTTCCTACTCTATGAGGTCAAGTAAGCATATAGAAGATCTCAGGAATGTAACTGATGAGGTTAATTTAACAGATACACATGAAACATTGTGGCTAATGAAAGCAAATATACCTCTTCCTATGCCAATGGAGTAGTCACGAAAATTGATAATTCAATAAATTCCCCGAAGAATAATCATTTTATTATAATAGAGTTAAAATGAAGATTAGTAACAAAGATTTAACTCCCTCAAAATCACAACTTAATCATTTGAAATTAGCTTTACTTTAATTCTTAGTTCTTTAGTTAATTCTTTAGTTCACTTGATAAAAATATTCCAACAATTATTTTCTTAAAATATCCAATTAAGAGAGAAGCTTCTGGCCGAGCACGGTGGCTCATGCCTGCAATCGCAGCACTTTGGGAGGCTGAGGTGGGCAGATAACCTGAGGTCTGGAGTGAGGTCCAGAGTTCAAGACCAGCCTGACCAACATGGAGAATCCGCATCTGTACTAAAAATACAAAAATTAGCCGGGCGTGGTGGCAGGCACCACCAACTTGGGAGGCTTAGGCAGGAGAATCGCTTGAACCCAGGAGGTGGAGATTGCAGTGATTGGGGATCGCCCCAATGTCCTCTAGCCTAGTGACAGAGTAAGACTCCATCTCAAAAAAAAAAAAAAAAAAAGAAAGAAAGAAAAAGAGAGGCTTCTACCTAAGACTAACAGGAAAATTAGGAAGCATAGATCTATAATTTTAGTGTAGATATGATAATAGCATTATACTTAACAATAACATCACCAACTTCACCCACTTACTGACCACTGATTAGGATAAATAGTAACACCTGCTTTATAGGAGAGCGTGAAGATTTTATGTGATAAATTTCTAAAATGCTTACAGAAATACATATCATAAAGTAAGCCCTCAATAAAAGTCAGTTTTGAACTACAGGTAGAAAGTGTATTTTTAGAACTATGTTTAAAGCAAATAACCTCACCCGGTAGTGAGTGATTTAAATAAACAAATACTTCTGTTTTCCTCATGCAACAAGAGCCCCAGAAGTAAGCAGTCTAGGACTGGAATTGCAGCACAACAATACTGTCAGGCACTAAGACTTCTCATAACTTCCTGTTTTCCTATCCTTCTTCTCTATCTATCAGCCTCATGACCACAAGATTGCTGGTACAGGCCAGGTGCGGTGGCTCACACCTGTAATCCTAGCACTTTGGGAGGCCGAGGCAGGCGGATGACCTGAGGTCAAGAGTTCGAGACTATCCTGGCCTATGTGGCGAAAGCCTGTCTCTACTAAGAATACAAAAATTAGCCAGGTGTGGTGGCGTGTGCCTGTAATCCCAGCTACTCAGGAGGCTGAGGCAGGAGAATCACTTGAACCTGGGAGGCAGAAATTGCAGTGGGCCGAGATCTTGCCACTGCACTTGAGCGTGGGTGACAGAGGGAGACTCCCGCTAAAAAAAAAAAAAAATTGCTGGTACACATCCAGGCATTGCATCTGCATTCCAGGAGGAAAGAAGGGAGATCAAAAGCTTTATGTTTTTGGAACCGTGCCTTTTGATTTGCGACGAGAGCTCTCCCCACTGAATTCTCACTGATCAGAAATAGGTTGTACAGCTAATGCTAATTGCAAAGGAGGCTGGGAGATGAAGGATTCTTAGTTGAACACATGCTATGCCTAACAAAATGCTGACAAAGGAGAAGCAGCAATAGACATTGCATAGGTCACCAGCAGTGTCTTTCATAGGAGGTATAAATAATTTTAATGTACACTAATAAATTAAAATATTGTAAGAAATGGAATAGCTGTCAAAGAAACATATTTATATGTAAATATATGCATATATATTTCCTTGATTCAAAATAACGGAAGATTTGCTTTTTAATTCTTTGAGAATATATTTCTATTGTTTTTTAAAAGGTTCCAGAGGATGCAAAAAGATAAGAAATATCTCTTTGTATTTCAAAAATGGCAAAACCTTGCTACCTTACAAAACTTGCTCAAAGAAAAATAAAACACAGGCCAAACTTATTTATTCATAGAGATAAAAATGCTAAATAAATAAAAGTAAATACATCTCAGCATGAAAATTAACAATAACAAGCTGTGATTAAGGGTTTATTTCTGGAATTAAGGAATGGTTAAATAATTGGATATCTATTTATATAATTCATCTCATCAGCAGATAAAATGTGAAAAATGATTTTTTTTCCACAAAAATTCCTAGTGACTCCTAATTAAAGATTCTTCTCTAATATTATAAAGCATGTCCAAAACCAGCAATGGCCACCTTTTTAGTCAGTGACATTTCTATTAAAGTCAAGAACAAGACAATAAGGCCCACACTATCACCAATGTTCTTTTATCCTTAAAATAAGTGAGTTTGAGGACAGAGGCAAAAATCATCAGTTGTCAATGATATGCTTAGGTATCTGAAAATTTCCATAGACTATGGAATAAGCCTACTATAGCATATTAGCTAGTCATGCAGAAATATATAAACTTTAATAAGAAATCAGTAGTTTGAAAGCACGATAAACACAAAATCCCAATTCAATACCAAATATAACCTAGGCATTAACCTGACAAATACAAATAGATGTAGAATCTGTTCAGGAAACATTTTAAACTTCCCAGAATAGTGTAATGGAAGACTTGAACAGACATGGAAGCCATCTATGTTGTTCATAGGCAAGACCTAACATTAGAAAAATAATACTTTTTCCTAATTAGCCTATAAATCTAATGTGTTTTAATTAAATTCTATTGGGATTTCTTTTAAAAACTTGACAGACTATTCTTGAACTCATAGGAAGAACAAACAGATAAGAATAGTAAAGATAATTTTGATTAAAAAGGGTACTAAGGCACTCTTTGGCCTCCTAGAAATTAAACATGTGAGGGTTCTAATAATTAAAATAATACAGGAACAGACATATTTTCAATAGAAAGAGAAGTCCATAAGGAAACCTAATTATGATGAAAAGTTTATCTTAGGATAGAAATTGATTTTGTGTTTTATCACTGAAGAAAGGATACTTCTTTAAAATGGTATTGGAAAAAAAAATAAGGAAATATAATATTCCAACCCTATTTCAGATCTTATCCCAAAAGAAAATTCAGATGTATTAAAATCTTAATGTAAGAAATGAAACTACAAAATGACGAAAAGCAAGTATAAAGAAGCTTTTACATGGTTTTGGGATGGAAGATTATTTTACTTTTGTCCTGCAGGTACTAACCCAGTAGGTTTCAAATACATGTGTTACTCCTTATATTTGCAAATATGTGGGCAAGACAGGAAACGGGCTGGGGGGGCAGATACTATCACAGTGATGGGCGGTGTTGTTACTGGTATTTAGTTAGTGGGTGCTGCTGGGGATGCAAAAATCCTTCATGGCATGGGACATTCCCACATAGTAAGGAGCTGTCCAGCCCCAGATGCCAAAAGCAACCACACTGAGAATCACATGTTGTGGAACATTAAGAACGATTTTGAAAGGTCATTATTAATCATGAAGTGGTCCAATAACTAATATTTCCTGTCTGAGGTTTTCTGCCTCTTCTTTTTTAATGGCAAAAGGCCTATACATGACTCAGACATCTGAATAATGGCTTTTCTGTCCTCTTCTACATACCAGCTTTCACAATTTGTCAAATGTAGGCAACTAGCTTTTAAAAATATAATGAAGCACCTATTGGTGGTGGTGTAAATTGGAGGCATTTGTAAAGAGAGAAGATCTCTGGACAAGCTCGCATTCGGTATGCCTCATTTCCTCTTCTTTATTGTGTGGATAAGGGGAAATGGTGTTTATTGGGAGAGGACCGAAGAAGTTGTATTATTTCCAGTTTACACGATTACTGTAAAAGCTTATCTCAGACAGTCTTATCTTAGGACATTCCACGAGTCTCACTCTAGGGGATGTCATATGCCAATATTTCTTGGTGTTCTTCTGATTGAAATGCCTTTTAAAAAACTTGTTTGAATACCTCAAAATAGGCATGGCTGTTAAAAAGAGAGAGTTGAGTTCTGATAGCTAACATATAAAAGTTTAGTGTATGATAAAAATATTGTATCAGAATTTTCAAAGGGAAAGGGACACTTTGGCTGCAACAAAGAAGGCCACTTCTCAGAAGCGATTCTCCCTCCTTTTCAGAGCTCTCTGTTAACTCAGCAATGGTAACATTGATTTCATACCTTATTATACAGTTATATAAATAATCGAAAAGAACAGAATGCCTGACTAAAGTGGCTTAAATGAGTACAGGTTTATTTATTTATTTTTTCTCACATAGCAAGAAGTCTAGAGGAAGACAGTTGAGGGCTGGTGCAGGAGCTCAACAGTCTAAAAACTGGGTTCTTTCTGTTTCCTCTGCCATTCCTAGGACACTGATTTTAATTCACATTCTGGTTACCCCACAGTTGCTGCAGCTCCTGGTGGTGTAACATCGTTCCAGGCAGGAAGAAAGTAAATGGTGAGCAACCCCCTGGACCTGAGTGAGTTAGTGCCAACTATTGGAGGGTGAGGTCCGTTTCTTTCTGGAAGCAAGGAGAAGAGGGAGAAGGAAAAGAAGGAAGAAGGGAGAAAGAAGAATGATGAGAAGCCAACCAGCCAGGAAAGCTAGAGGTGGTAAGATCACTGTACTTCTTAAACTTTGACGTGCATGCAGATCACTCAGGGTTTTGTTAAAATGAAGATTGTGATTCAGTAGGTCTGGAGTATCTGCATGTCTAAGGAGGTCCTCCATGATGCTAATGCTGCTGGTCTGTGGTTTGTGCTTTGAGCCTGATAAAGTCTCTTGAGAGTGGAGTTACTTCAATATAAAACAATTCTAATTTCTTTTTAAAAGTCTCAATTCAATTTTTAATATGTTCAGTGGTGAAATTGGGATATTCTACTTTATTTAAAGTTCTTCCTCCCAGTACTTGAGTGACCTTGTTGTTGGGCCTGCAGCTGGCTGTCTCATTCTTATGGGGCTTTTGTGCAGGATACTCTTCCATCCTCTGCATCATGGGAAATCTCTGATTTGCAGTTCGTTCAACTTGGCTTCTTTATTTCCCCACACATTCACTTTTCTGCATAAAATCATCTTTTGATCTTGTGGCCACTGAGGTTGGCCATCTTTTGTCTGGGCGTTTAGGTGAAACCGAGAGTCTATTTTGTTAGCATTGTTAGCCTCCAGGTTCTTTCTGCTGCATTTCTGCCTTCCAGGAGGATCTACTTAGGGAAGACCTAAGACATCCCCAGCCTTGCTCTGTTTCTTGAGTGGATCTCATTGGGTCCATAGGAGAAACCTCACACATTCTTTGCCCAGACACATTCTGTAACACTAGGCTATTTCCAATGGAGGAATGTCTCTTTTGTCCACTATCAGGGTAGATAACATGTTATTCATTCTCACACTAGATTTCTCAGGCCTGCGTCAGACCCTTGCCCACTGTGCAGCCCAGTCTTCAAATGGCCCTACTAATTTTTCTTTTTTTTCTGGCTAAAGATAAGGAGTAAGCACACTTAGCCCTCTCCCTTTGGAGCAGGTCCATGCATAGCTCTCTTCGAGAAAACTCTCTCAGTTCAAATGTAACCACCTTCTTGAATGTTTTAGACTTCTGTATCTTGGTTTCCAACCATAGCTTTGCAAGTTCTGCATAGAGGATCTGCTAATGGATTTTGGAATGCCCCAGTGGTTGTCACATTGTAAATATACAGTTGTGCAAGCAGTGCATTGCAGAACTCTAGGGGTGCCATTCACCTCCAAGTCACTGCAGATTTGTACAGTGATGATTTTTTCTTAATTGCACTTTATGCAGTTAAGAAAAAGGAAAGGTTACCTTTTTCAAAATGCACAAAATCCCCTTTTAATCTACTGGCAGCTAATTTTGGTAATAGCTGTGTCAGGGTCATCAGAGAAACTGAGAAGTCCCTCATTATTAGGAATGTTTTAAATTACTTTATAAAATGTTATGAGGACTTGTATATATTTGATTCCATATTATTATCCCTTGAATACCCAGTGCAATCTTATCTTGTTAATTTTTAAATCATTCATTTGCTTCTTTGGGAGTTTTTAAATTTAATTTTTGAAAAGTAAATATGAAACAGAGGGATTCAAATTTTGGTTGTTCTTTGCATTCAGATATTCTGCAATCAGTAAGTTGAGTTCCTTTAGTTGCTTTATGTTTCTTATCAATATTTCAAAGCACTTGTTTCCACAAATTTCAATTTTCATACAATTTCTTATTCTTGCATATAACTTCAAAAACTTTGCTTTTTGGTTTTGTTTTTTTGGCTCTTACATCAATTACAAATTTTTAAAATTCATTACCTTATTTTAAAGGTTGATGCCTGCCTATCCAACTCCATTCCCATCTGGCCTAGAACATTTAAATTGGCTGTCAGATTTTTTTTATTTTGCTATTGTATTTATTTATTTATTTTTAAATTTACTTTAAGTTCTGGGATACATGTGCAGAACATGCAGGTTTGTTATGTGTGCCATGGTGGTTTGCGGCACCTGTCAACCTATCATCTAGGTTTTAAGCCCCGCATGCATTAGCTATTTATCTTCATGTTCTCCTTCCCCTCTCCCCCCACCCCCTAACTGGCCCCAGTGTGTGTTGTTCCCCTCCCTGTGTCCATGTGTTCTCATTGTTCAACTCTCACTTATGAGTGAGAACATGTGGTGTTTGGTTTTCTGTTTTCTGTGTTAGTTTGTGGAGAATGATGGCTTCCAGCTTCATCCATGTCCCTGCAAAGGGCATGATCTCATTTCTTTCTATGGCTGCATAGTAGTCCATGGTGTTTATGTACCATTTTCTTTATTTGGTCTATCGTTGATGGGCATTTGGGTTGGTTCTATGTCTTTGCTATTGTAAACAGTGCTGCAATAAACATACGTGTGCATGTGTCTTTATAGTAGAATGATTTATATTCCTTTGGGTATATACCCAGTAATGGGATTGCTGGATCAAATGGTATTTCTGGCTCTAGATCCTTGAGGAATCGCCACACTGTCTTCCACAATGGTTGAACTAATTTACATTCCCACCAACAGTGTAAAAGCATTACTATTTCTCTACAGTGTCGCCACCATCTATTGTTTCGTGACTTTTTCATAATCACCATGCTGACTGGTGTGAGATGGTATCTCATTGTGGTTTTGATTTGCATTTCTCTAATGATCGGTGGTGTTGAACTTTTCTTCATATGTTTGTTGACCACATAAATGTCTTCTTTTGGGAAGTGTCTGTGCATATCCTTTGCCCACTTTTTGATGGGGTTATTTGTTTAAGTTCCCTGTAGATTCTGGATGTTAGACCTTTGTCAGATGGGTAAATTGCAAAATTTTTCTCCCATTCTGTAGGTTGTCTGTTAATTCTGATGATAGAGTCTTTTGCTGTGCAGAAGCTTTTTAGTTTCATTAGATCACATTTGTCAATTTTGACTTTTGTTGTGATTGCTTTTGCTGTTTTTTTTCATGAAATTCTTGCCTATGTCTATTTCCTGAATGGTATTGCCTAAGATTTTTATGGTTTTTGAGTTTTACATTTAAATCTTTAATCCATCTTGAGTTAATTTTTGTATAAGGTGTAAGGAAGGGGTCCAGTTTCAGTTTTCTGCATATGAGTAGCCAGTTTTCCCAGCACCTTATTAAGTAGGAAATCCTTTTCCGATTCCTTGTTTTTGTCAGGTTTATCAAAGATCAGATGGCTGTAGATGTGTGGTGTTATTTCCGAAGTTTCTCTTTTGTTCCATTGATCCATATGTCTGTTTTGGTACTAGTACCATGCTGTTTTGGTTACTGTAGTCTTGTAGTATAGTTTTAAGTTAGGTAGCATGATGCCTCCAGCTTTGTTCTTTTTGGTTAGGATTGTCTTGGCTATATGGGCTGTTTTTTGGTTTCATATGAAATTTAAAGTAGTTTTTTCTAATTCTGTGAAGAATGTCAATGGTAGTTTGATGGGAATAGCATTGAATCTATAAATTACTTTGGACAGGATAGCCATTTTCATGATATGGATTATTCCTATTCATGAGGACAAAATGTTTTTCCATTTGTTTATGTCCTCTCTTATTGAGCAGCGGTTTATAGTTCTCCTTGAAGAGGTCCTTCACATCCCATGTTAGCTGTATTCCTAGGTATTTTATTCTCTTTGTATCAATTGTGAATGGGAATTCATTCATGATTTGGCTCTCTGCTCTCTCAACATGCTTTGACTAGTGAGAGGCATCATGCTACCTAACTTAAAACTATACTACAGGGCTACAGTAATCAAAACAGTATGGTGCTGGTGCCAAAACAGACATATAGATCAATGGAACAGAAGAGAAACTTCAGAAATAACACCACACATCTACAACCATCTGATCTTTGACAAACCTGACACAAACAAGGAATGGGAAAAGGATTTCCTACTTAATAATGGTGCTGGGAAAACTGGCTACCCATATGCAGAAAACTGAAACTGGACCCCTTCCTTACACCTTATACAAAAATTAACTCTACATCACTTATTGGTGTATAGGAATGCTTGTGATTTTTGCACATTGATTTTGTATCCTGAGAGTTTGCTGAAGTTGCTTATCAGCTTAAGGAGTTTTTGGGCTAAGATGATGGAGTTTTCTAAATATAGAAACATGTCATCTTCAAACAGAGACAATTTGACTGCTGCTTTTCCTATTTGAATACCCTTTATTTCTTTCTCTTGCCTGATTGCCCTGGCCAGAACTTCCAATACTATGTTGAATAGGAGTGGTGAGAGAGGGCATCCTTGTCTTGTACTGGTTGTCGAAAGGAATGCTTTCCAGCTTTTGCTCATTCAGTATGATATTGGTTGTGGGGTTGTCATAAATAGCTTCTATTATTTTGTGATATGTTCCATCAATACCTAGTTTATTGAGAGTTTTTAACATAAAGGAATGTCAAATTTTATTGAAAGCCTTTTCTGCATCTGTTGAGATAATCATGTGGTTTTTAACATTGGTTCTGTTTATGTGATGGGTTATGTTTATAGATTTGCGTATGTTGAACCAGTCTTGTATCCCAGGGATGAAGCCAACTTGATCGTGGTGGATAAGCTTTTTGATGTGCTGCTGGATTCAGTTTGCCAGTATTTTGTTGAGGATTTTTGCATTGATGCTCATCAGGGATATTGGCCTGAAGTTTTCTTTTTTTGTTGTGTCTCTACCAGGTTTTGGTATCAAGATGATGCTGGCCTCATAAAATGAGGCTTTTTTGCCCTCTCTTCACCTTTTGTCTTCACAGGGTGGAAAACTCCCTGGAATCATGCTAATGCTGCCATTTTCGGTACATGGGACCCTGAAGGAGCATATAGCTCTATTGCACATGCACATGTTTCTCCTATCATAAATATTCATTCACCTCCTATAGCTCATCAAATATATATATTTAGCCACCTCATTCAGCATAAATTCTTGTCCCCCTTTCTCCTCCCTCAAAATGTCTTTTCTGGCTTCTGGCCGGATGCTGTGCTTCCCAGCCCATCAGACAGCCTGGCCACCCTGCAGGGTGCACCCCTTTATGGGAAATACAGCTCTCCTTTCCAAATTAATATTGTATATATGTTATATATATAAAATAATCTCCTTTCCAAATTAAATATACATAT